AGCTTTGCTCGGGTTTGTTTTCTAAATGCCCCGGGTAGTTATTGCTTTCATACAAAAATAATAGTGGAACAGTATATACCTTGGTAACATAGCATGGAAATATTATGAATGAAGATAATGACAACGCTTGTATTATGGCTTTAAATTATAAAATTTCTTTTTGATTGTTGACCTTGAAATATTAATAATAATTTAAATATAAACAACTCAAATAAAAAAAAATGTGGGCAAGAGGTACCGTTCTGCTACCGATTGCAAGTCGGTCACTGTAACGGATTGTGTTAAATTTAAATTGATATAATAACATGGTAGGTATAGGAAAAACGATTCTGAGCAAAGACAGTCAGTCAGCCTATTTAGTTCTCCTTCTTCTTCTTCTGGCTTTATATACTCTACAACAGTTTTTACCGTCATCACAACTTCACGCCACTTCTCTTGATCATGAATTATATTTCTCCAATCATTTACTTACTCCTATTCTTTTTAAATTATCCTCGACCACGTCCAATCATCTTTTCATCGGGCGTCCTCGTGGTCTCTTACCCGTTGGTTTCCAAGACAGTAGTCTTTATTATTTTATCGTTACTTCCACGCATAATGTGCCCTAACCACTGGATTTTCTAGCCTCTTATGTAATATTCAATTGGAGTTATACCGGTTTCTTCAATTAGTTCTTTGTTAAACCTTCTCCTCCACATACCAGTGTTTTCGTCTAATTTAGGTCCACATATCATATGCCATATCTTGTTTTCGAAGATAGTAAGTCTTCGTTCTATTCCTCTTTTTGTCGTCCATGCTTCTCATCCATATGTATTAACATACAGCTCTCACTATCACTATGTAGAGTCTGACTATCGTTTCCTTGGACAACATTTTAGTTTTGAAAAATCTGGATATAGGAAAGGACTCTCTCTATGCTTTAATTATCCATATTCTAATCTCTTGGGACCAGTCATTTTTTGTATTTATACACCCACCAAGGTATTTAAACTCTTTACCTTTTTCATATATCTAGTCATCCGGATCAGGGTTCGTTGGATCTGTGTCAGTATCTAATAGCTCCATGATCTTGGTCTTTTCCAGATTTAAAATTTTTAATATTTTCCAACTGCTATTGTAACAATATATCAGGAGCCTTGTATTCAAATTTCAAGCTTTTTTACCCGACAAATACAGTTTTTATTAATATTTATAGAATAAAAAACTAAAAAATTGAAAACTGAAAATATCCGTAGACATGTTTAAATATTTTGAAAATTGTATCGTGTATAGAAAATGTTAATATAAACATTCAGTGAAAATTTCATGTATAAATACATTATACAGTAATTTTTCATGGAGTTACACTAAAAACCAAAACCGATTACATCGAAACCGATTTTGAGAAAAAATTCTTGTTTTTTCTTTTGTTTTTCATGGCGCTTTTTTAAACTACTGGGAAATTTTTACTTTTGATCCCCCCAAAGTACCAACTAGATCCACTTTGCTATCAGAAAATATACTGTTGAAGAATATTTAAGCATTTTTACTGTCCTAAAAGATGATGACAAACACAAAAAAATAAAATAAAAAACCACATCATTGTAAAATCAACACACCGCTCGGAATCTAAAAAATTATGTTTTTATATTTTTGAGATTTTTTGGTAACGGAATAACCTACTTACGTGGAACCTTGTTTTAAATTTTCAATCCTTAGCTATAAAATAGTTGAACATTTTATAAATTTTTAACTACAAAACATATCAAAATATTTTGAAAATTGTATTGTGAATAGAAAATGCATATATAAACATTCAGTGAAAATTGCATGTATATACATTATACAGTCATTTTTCTTAAAGTTACATTTACACTAAAAACCAAAATCGATTTTGTCAAAAACCGATTTTACGTAAAAATTACTGTTTTTCCTTAATTTTTATTTTGTTTTCCCCGGCACTTTTGAAAATTATTGACCTTCATATGCACCTACTAGATTCACTTTCCCATCGAACAAGATACTGTTGAAGAAAATCGAAACAGTTTTACTGCCCAAAAGGTGAAGACAGACACAAAAAATAAAACATAAATACCATTGTAAAATCTATACATTTTTCTCTCAGAATCTAAAATTAATGATTTATTGTCTTAAATTTTTTAATCTAATCACCGACGATCTGTACCTAGTAAATTGTTTTCAATATCGCTATTTATACGATAGTGACAATTATTACGTTTATTGACAAAAATAGGTACCAGATTACGGATTTTATTAGCTTTGTTCGTCCTGACAAAAATTTACACTTTTGAATTTAGGGTACATAAAGACATATAGCTCAAATGCTCAATAGTTGTTTGTTTTAAAAAAGTGAAGGGCTTGGTCTCAACATTATCCGAAGTCGAACTAATTTTCAGTTATTTTTGTGAATTGCGTGTAGGTACCTTAGTATTACCACACACGAATACACGATTAACTACTATCGTAGTAGGTACCTATAGTAGTATCGTCAATCTTTAACCTTCCTACCACATTTAAATTTAAAAAAATAATAATAATATATTTTTGGTAATAAAATAATAAATACATTCATAGGCGGAAATCCATTGAAAAAGTTGGGGGGGAGGTGTACAATTATTCTCCTGAACCAAAGTCAAATAATATGAATAAATAATATAATTTTATAAATAATTTGCTTTTTTCAATTTCTGGAACCCGTTAATGTCAATGAAGGTTTTACTGAATCTGTTCCAAACATGCTGCAAGCAAAACAGAATATTGCATCCTTAGATTATCTACTACTCTACCCATTCATGTCTAATTGTCTTTTATAGTATGATCAGGCCCGGACTGGTAAAATAGGGCACGGGATGCTACACAATTTAAAGGGCAAATACCAAAAACTGTTGGGGCAAATTTAATAATTTAATACATGTAGATTATTTATAAAATATTAATATATTTTGTTTGTTTTAAAAAAATATTGAATATACGTTAAAAACGTAAATAAGTACCTACCAAATTATAACTAACTTTCAATCAAAATTGTACAATATTATAAATCAAGGCTGGGCAAGTTAACTATTTTTTTTAACTCGTTAAGTTAAGTTAATATAGAAAAATGTAAGTTAAGTTTAAAGTTATAAGTTAACTTCATGTTTTTTTTAACTTGTAAAAGTTACAAGTTAATTAGAAAATAAAAGTAACTTAACTTAGTTAAAAATAAGTTACTTTTTTTTAAAAATAAAATTAACAATTATACCTACCTACCTTTTTTAAAGCTAACAAATAACATAATAATTCAATAAATCAAAAAATGTCTTACAATATTTGAATAAATGTTTGTAATAAAATTAGTTACTGTAGGTACTTATATTAATTTTGTGTATTATACTTTAATTAGGTAAATAGTAAATACCACTCTACTACGGGTATTATTTACATCGACGGGCCAATAGTTATCACTGTAATTCTATGAATGAATAAAAATATAATTAAGTAATGATATTAATAATGATTAGGTATAGGTTAATTTATATGTCGTGTATGGGATAGGTACTGAGTAAATTGTTATATTTTTCTTTGACGTGGTTACCCCTATGATATTTTCCTCTATAATATAGTTATAAAATATTTTCTGTGAATATGCAATATAAAAACTTACTATGATTATAAATTATTATTTAATATTTCGGGGTTTTTTTTTTATGTAACTAATTTTACAAAATTGAATTAATTTTAAATAATATGTGGTTTGGGAAAAAATTAACTTAACGTGCCAATAAAATTAATTAACTCGTTAAGTTACTGAATAACATGGGGAAAAATGTAAATCGTTAAGTTAGAAGTTACTTCTAAAAAAAAAAGTAACTCGTTAATTAACTTAGTTAAAAGTAACTTAACTTTTTAACTTAACTTTAACTTATTAACTCGTTAATGCCCAGCCTTGTTATAAATTACTAGTAATCGTAAGTTGGTAACAATCTGCTCTTAATTATGTGTCTAGAGTCTTTAAATATACAGTGTGTTCAACGATAAAGGTAACACGGAATATTTTGAACGCATGACCTTGTATGCAATTCGGGTTTTTTGTAATGCGTAAAGGACATAAAATTACATTTATTTTTGATAAATCTTAATTTTTAAAATTCTGCGCATGCGCAACAAAATAATTTTTTTTAAATGGCACCTCCCATTTTTGAGTTCAAATTTGAAGTATATGCATTTTTTCAAGCAACTTTCACTTTTAAAGTTTTGCTCTATCTTCAAAATTGACCGATTGAGAATTAGTCGATTTATAACATTTGTATTTATCGTATTTTTCAATAGTCTACTTAGAGTTTTAAAATTTATAAGTGATTTCGTATACATTTTTCTTAAAAATTCAGTGAACTGTCATAAGTACAAGTAATTTACATTACTTCTACAGAAATTTTAACTCAAATTTCTTGTAAATGGTATAATTTTGGTTAATTAATTAAACAAACTAACACATATTCTATTATTTTAATTCAGTTTTAAAACAAATTATCGCCTTATCGCTATTGCGTTTTTTCTGTCGCTCACCCGAACAAGCTTAGTATTAATAACAAATAATATTGGTTTCATATTCCTACAAAATAAATCTTTTCAGTGTTTTCACTTTCTATCTTTTATCGACTTTTATTGCATGCCTTAGATTATTTTATCTTAATGTCGTAGGTAATCTAACAAACGATAATTTTGGTTAGGTACTATTTCTAAATTTGCTCACATTTATGGTCAAAGTGTACTTTGTAAATTGTTGTTAAATGTGGTTTGTCATTTGTTTGGGTCACATTAATTTTCAGTTTAATATGGTGAGCTTCAGTGAGAAAACAGATATTATGCTCTTAATTTATGGCGAGTGCCAAAAAATTCGCTTAATGCAGCACGATTGTATGCAGAACGGTACCCGGATCGATATCACCCACCTCACAACTTTTTTGTGCGAATTGAAAAAAGTTTGAGAGAACACGGACAGTTCACGAGTAGAGTTGGTAATGGCCACCGTAATCAAAGACGACATGAAGCCAATGATGATGAAGAAATGCAGGTATCAGCATACCTACATTAATATTAATCCGCGTTCTTCCGTGCAACATTTGGCAAGAGAACTTAATGTATCCGTGGGAAAAGTGCATTTGATTTTGAAAAAAAATAAGTATCATCCATATCGGCCAAACTTAGTTCAACATTTAGTACTTGGTGATTCAGAGAGAAGGCTTACGTTTATTGCATGGTTATTGGTACAAGTTCAAGAGGAACCACAGTTTTTGGATTACATTTGTTGGACTGATGAATCCAAATTTACTAATAACGATATTATTAACAAACAAAATAATCGATATTGGTCTGATAGTAATCCATTTTGGACAAACGATACTAATTTTCAACACGTATGGGGAACAAACGTTTGGTGTGGACTTGTAGGTGGCAAATTACTCGGTCCTTATTTTTATGATGGCACATTGGCTGGTACGAGATACCTCGACTTCTTATCAAATCAACTCACCATTTTTATGGAAGATGTTCCACTAAACATTCGCGTACATTTATTTTTCGTTTAATTGTTCGCGAATATTTAGAGAGAACTTTTAATCATAGATGGATGGACTAGTACAATGGCCGCCAAGATCACCAGATTTGACACCTTTGGATTTTTTTTTATGGGGACATCTGAAGACGGTTGTCTATTCTATTCTAACCCACCAAATGACCTTCAAGGTTTGAAAAATAAAATAATTATTGCGTGTGCACAGTTAACCGAGGAACAAATATTTTCTGCGAAACACAGAGAAGTAGGTACCTATTGCGACGGTTTGAAGCATGCATTACAAATAAGTAATAACGGTAACAACTTCGAGCAATTTATACGATGAATTGTAAAATTTAATCAAAACTCACCTGTACATAATTTAATTGTTCAATAAATTCAAAATTTGTTCAGGGGCGGACTGGCAGATCGGGAAATTTCCCGATTGGCCGGTCGAATAATGGGATTATAGGCCGTCTCGGGCGGGGCAGTTTGATTGTACAAATAACTAACTTATATTATGATTTTTAAATTTTAATAATATAGTATTCAGTGTTTGGTGTATTTAAAATCTATAAAATATAACATAAATAATACGATAATAATCATACCAAAAATTATATTTTGTTGTTCTAAGACACAGTTATAAAAATAATTTTAGTTTATATAAATAGAAATAATAGCCAATAACGCATCCGGCAACCATTTAGGTTTGTATCAGTGGCGGTATCACTATTTGTTTGTATACACGTACGTTTCTCCAGCCCCCCCCATATCGAATTTCAAAATTTTTTTTGGTTAAATATTTAGCGTGCAATTAGCGTGAATTGGCGTGACTGGTTTTGGAATTTGCTTGGCACTAGGTCAAGTTTAAAAATGTAAACAAAGTGGGGGGGGGCTGTAGAAACGTTTCTACAGCCCCTCCTCATCCGAATATTGAATTTTAAGGACTTTTTTATGTCTCAATATTTAGCGTGTAATTGGCGTGAATTTGCGTGACCTATTTCGAAACCGTAAACCCAAAGCCCCAAGTACTGTGGGCTTTACCCCTTTATTGCCATTTCCCCAGCCCCCCCCAAACAGCAAATAAATTTTTTTCTATTCATACACTCTACAGTCTACATTTAATTGTATATAATGCTACCTATATTAATATATTTATTTACATATAGCTATTTATTTACGTATAGCATATAGCTTAATTATATAGCTATATACATATTATTTATGACTAAATGAGTATAATAATATAATATATAAAATAAATAAACTATATTTTATATAATAATTTATTATGTATTATATTTAATACATACATTTCTGCATAATGCATGTATCTATATATTAGTATATAATAATATAGTAAAAATTTCATTTTATTTTTTACAGAAATTCCAATGTATCTTCATTCATAGCATAATATCTTTGTGATCAATTTTGTTAATTATATGCAATATAAAAAGGGTCAGATCACTAATTTTCTTTGAATAAATAACATTTAAAAAGTGCAGTATGGATACATAATTGAGCACATTATGTAGGCACCTATAAAGTTATTGGTACTAAAAATGGTAATACACCGAATACGTAGGTACAAATAAGCGATTTAAGGTTTTATTACACACAATATTCATACGAATTAAAACGGTTAAATAATGTTTAATTCAGTCTTCGACCCTGAGTAGCAACGGTTTAAATTTCTCGAATTTTGGCAGGAAAAATCATCCGATTATAATGATTTTGTTTTATTAATGGAATTATTATTAGATCATAATAAATATATATTACATATATAAACAATACTAGAGGTGTGTCGAAATCAAAAATATGGTCTCGATCCGAACCTTGGTATGTCGAACCGAACTTTTTAGTGTGAAGTATAACTCGAACCACATATTTACCATATATTTCATTACTAGAGTGAACCCAAAATAAACTTTTGAATTAAATGGCAAATGAAAGCCTTATAGTTTTTACTTTATACTTTAAAGCCGTATGCTCAGTGTTGGGAAATATCTAGATCAGTAGATAATAATTACTTATCTTTTATTTTATGTGGATAGTTTTCAGCTCAATTATATTTATCTTTATCTTGATCAAATTCTAGTTATCTATGTACCTATGTAGTAATACTACATAGTACATACTAGGTATGTACTATAATATACCTATCTATACCTATAATTTATTTTAATGGACAAAAAAAAAATGTTGAAAATTAATAATATTATTCATATTTTTTATTTAATATTTATTAATTATTTATTTACATCTTATTTTTTGTTTATTTTTAAAATGTTTTAACTGAGTTTAAAAAAATCAAAAAAGATTAGGACATTTATTCTTTTTTCTTTTTTAAAAATATATAAGCTGGTTTGTATGATTAAGACAGACGATAACGTTTCAAGTTCTAATGAAGTTTACTTATTTAAAAAATAAACTATTTTATTTTATGTTTCTTTTAATATGTTTTAAATTATGTATTTATTTTCTTTTACCTATATCACTGAATAATGAAAATTTTCAAAATTAAATAATAATATAATATTTGATATTAACTATTACAGAATTAACACTATTAAGAATTAAGAGTTAAGACCTAATAAATAATAATAATAAACATTAAACGTATGTCGTATGTCGTACAATAATTCGTACACTGTCAATTAGTCACTAATAAGTAACCACTAACCAATAACACTGATAACTATTATTTGGAATTAACGATTAATGAGTAAGTAGTAGGACTGTAGGAGTGTAGGACTCAGGACCTATGTTATAAAAATATAAATGCCAAATGGTTATAAATAATAATGATAAAGATATTTTAATTTTATGAATAACTACCTATAATCAATATTTATATTAGCTTTTAATATTGTTCAGCGTGTTACAAACTTCGATTATATAAATTATATATTATAAATATATATATAATTTATAATTTATATAATAGTGCAAAACAACAAAACCAAATTAATAATTTATCCAAGTCTATAAATAATAATATCGGACAATATCGTGGTTTTAATTTTACATTTGTAATATTTAAAATTTAAATACATAGTAAATAATGATATAGAATATTGTATATACTATATAAGTATATAACTATATAGATTATAGATTATAGACAATAGGAAAACTAAAAATAAAATGAAAATCGAGAACATTTTTAGTTCGAAACGTTTGACATGTTAGAATTTTTGCTGTTCGTAAATTTTTTGAGTTCGAACTATTTTGATTTTCGAACTTTTTTGTTCGTGTTCGGTTCGGTTCAGTTTTTTTAAAACTGGGTTCGATTTTTCGAACTTCGAACAGTTCGACCCACTCGTAGTATATACTATATAGGTATTTTATAATTTTCGTAAATTATTTTCCATGTTCTTCGTATTTCGTATTTGCAAAGCCCACGGCTTTCGGTTTATGATTTCCGAATAGGTCATGCAAATTCCCGCCAATCGCACGATAAATATTGGCGTTGAAAAAAATTTATTTTCATTTGGGGGGGGGGGGGGCACGAGAAATGTCTAAAAAATGGTAACGCCCATGGTACTTGGTGTTTTGAATGCAGGGTTTCGAAATAGGTCTCGCCAATTGCACGCTAAATGTTGGCGTTGAAGAAAATTCGAAAAAAATGTATTTGTTGTTTGAGGGGGGCTGGGGAAATGGCAATAAAGGGGTAAAGCTCACAGTACTTGGTGTTTTGAATGCAGGGTTTCGAAATAGGTCACGCAAATTCACGCCAATTACACGCTAAATATTGGCGTTGAAAAAAATTCGAATAAAAATGTATTTGCTGTTTGAGGGGGGCTGGGGAAATGGCAATAAAGGGGTAAAGCCCACAGTACTTGGTGTTTTGAATGCAGGGTTTCGAAATAGGTCACGCAAATTCACGCCAATTACACGCTAAATATTGGCGTTGAAAAAAATTCGAATAAAAATGTATTTGCTGTTTGAGGGGGGCTGGGGAAATGGCAATAAAGGGGTAAAGCCCACAGTACTTGGTGTTTTGAATGCAGGGTTTCGAAATAGGTCACGCAAATTCACGCCAATTACACGCTAAATATTGGCGTTGAAAAAAATTCGAAAAAAAATGTATTTGCTGTTTGAGGGGGGCTGGGGAAATGGCAATAAAGGGGTAAAGCCCACAGTACTTGGTGTTTTGAATGCAGGGTTTCGAAATAGGTCACGCAAATTCACGCCAATTACACGCTAAATATTGAGACATAAAAAAGTCCTTAAAATTCAATATTCGGATGAGGCCCCCCCCCCCACTTTGTTTACATTTTTAAACTTGACCTAGTGCCAAGCAAATTCCAAAACCAGTCACGCCAATTCACGCTAATTGCACGCTAAATATTTAACCAAAAAAAATTTTGAAATTCGATAAGGGGGGGGGGGCTGGAGAAACGTACGTTTTGTATACGATTAATTCAATATAATATTATTTAAAAATAATATATACTGTTTTCGTATTTCGTTCACGAGTCTGTCGTCTGTAATATTGTAATAACTAATAATAATTAATTTATATTTTGCATTGACTACTGGAAAGAAGCACGTACCTTTTGAATATTTACGATCCCGATATCGCCTTTTAAAAGGTAAGATAAATATAGAAGATAATACTATTTTAGACAATTTTGTAAAATTTGGTTTGCGCGGCAAATGGCAATACAATGTGAGTCGTGAACTATTTTACTAAATTATAATTAATAATATATTAATATGTATTAATATGTATGCAACAATAACATATTTAAATAATAAAATAAATATGAATTAATTTATTGAATTTTTAATTGTTTTTTATACTATAAAAATGAATGAAATTGTCTTCTCGGAACAGCATGACACGGAATAATCTAGAAGCTTTTGTCTTAATGGCTACAGAAAAAAATATTTTAATTTACATACAGCACCAAACGGTTATAGACCGTTTAGCCTAAAAAAGCAAAACATTATTCATAAATTATTAATTCCTTAAGCCAATAAATTAAATATATTACCTAAAACGCATGATATATCTGCTGTTATTATTTATATTTTGAATATGCAATGGAAAAAATGTGTCGTATTTTAAACATAAATGTTATAATTAGGTTAGACAATAGTTTTTGGGCCACTTTAAAAAAAATTCCCGGGCCGCTCTAAAGAAGCCAGTCCGCCGGCCCCTGGTTGGAACATAGTGATCCGTGGCACCTCCATTTTTCCGCTAGAGCTCATCGAACTCCGCGTAATTAATTTTAGCTGGCTCTCTGGCAGTCTGCAGAGTTTGATGTTCCCTTTCGTAGTAGTCCTTGGTGGTCATACTAGCAGGTCGACAAAATATATCAATTAAATAAATTATTCACAGGAAATTAAGTAAGTAACTTCAGCCACTAGATTATAAGTTTAAAAGTGAAAAAATCTAAATCCAATGTACTTACAGTTACGTGTTAAGATATTTGTTAAATTAATCATTATATATCTGCGCACTCAATTCTTATGTGTTATGTCATTGTATCATACGTATCCATTTCTTCCCTTTGACGAAAAAAACATGTCTAGCTGTGCATGTGAAAGGTAAATTACGATTTATGATTTTCCAAAACACACTTATAGACGTCTACGCTGCATAGGCGCACATAGGGTGTTAATTTAGGGGGGGCTGGGATAATTTATGGTTCACATATCCGTGGGAGGCAAAGCCCCCCACACCCCCCTAATCCTAATATTTCTGCATTGCATTAGATTTAATTTGTACAGTGTATACAATAATTTCTAAAGTGCAATGTATCAAATAGTCTGTATGATTGTAAAGAAGACGCTAGGTACACCCACATATGTTGTCTTCGTATTACAGACGTATAGGTACAACATAGGCAAAACTGTTTTGCACGGGTATAAAAAACATTCAGGCTCTACTCTAAGCTAAAAAACTAAATGTTCACACTAGAAAAATGAGAAAATTTACTCTGTAACTTTGTTTTTATATTTCCGATATCAAAACCAAAATATATAAGTTATTTAAGTTTGATAAACAAAAAAAGGTGCTCTGCTGTACAGTAGGGTACAAGTGGGTCACTGTATAATCGATGGTATTAAATTTGAATTCAATGATATACTAACATCATTGTATACGAAAAACGATTCTGAGCGAAGACGGTTAAGTCAGCCTATGATATTACTAAGTATATTTGATGATACTAAGGTGAATAAAGCAATTTATATATAACCTATTTAAGTAGAATCTTGTTTTAAATTTTCAATCATTAGCTATAAAAGTTGAACATTTTATAAATTTTTAACTATAAAATTATTATTAAATTTTAAATGTGATAAATTTTGTCAAAATTTGAATTTTAAATAATTATAAAAAAAAAATTGTGCCTATGTATTTTTAATATTTTTCAAGTGTTAATGTAACAATATATCAGGAGCTTTGCATTCAATTTTCAAGCTTTTTTACCATACAAATAAAATTTTATTGATATGAATAGAAAAAAAAATTAAAAAAATTGAAAACTGAAAATGTCCGTAAATAGCTCAAAAAGAATCAAAATTTTTTCAAAACTATATGGTGTATATAGGAAATGCTATTTTCAAGTATCTACAGTCATTCGTTTTTTAATTACAACAAAATTAGAAAATCGTTACATGAGAAATCGAGTGAATATCAAATGTTGCAAAAATATGAATTTCAAACGTTGATAAAAATTTAATTTGAGATTCTTGTAGACATTTTTTTTTTGATAAAGGTAGAAAAACTTATGAGGAATATTGCATTACATTTTCATATCTTAGATTTAAAAGGAAAATTTTTTATGAATTTCTAACTCGAAATAATTTACAAATTTTGGTCATTTTGTAGTATTTTGTTAATATTTGGAATTTAAATGCTTATAACAAAAAACTGTGAGTAAGGATTTTTAATATTTTTCATCTGTCTTTGAAACAATATATTAGGAGCCTTCTATTAAATGTTTAAGCTTTTATACCCAACAAATAAAATTTTATTGATACTTATAGAAAAAAAAACTAAAAAAAATGGAAACTAAAAATGTCCGTAAAAAGCTCAAAATAACTCAAAATATTTAGAAAATGTTATCATGTATAGAAAATGGAAATATAAATAACCAGTGAAAATTTCATATATCTACGGTCATTTGTTTCAAAGTTACACCAAAAACCAAAATCAATTTTCTCGAAAACAGATTTTGCGTAAAAATTCCCGGTTTTCCTTAATTTTTCTTTTGTTTTTCACGGCGCTTTTGAAAACTACTGTGAAATTTTTGCTTTTGACCCCCCCCCCCCCCCCCCCAAAGTACCAACTAGACTCACTTTCCTATCAGAAAAGATATTGTTGAAGAGAAGAAAATCCAAGCACTTTTACTGTCCTAAAAGATGATGACAGACAAAAAAAAAAAAAAATGAATTCGTGAATTCGTAAACAGTTGTCAATATTTGTAATGAAAAGAAAAATTCCGAACCAATAAACCACGATAGTTTATAAATGATTGGTGAAATACATTGGCGCAACTAGGGGGGGTGCTTTGGGTCCTTAGCACCCCCTAAGTCAAAATTAGCACCCCCTAGAAAATTTTTATTTGTTAGGTCTCATTGAATCACAAAAAAACCTGGAGCTTAAGCACCCCCTAGTTCAAATGTGTAGTTGCGCCAATGGTGAAATACTGAAATAAACTGAGGGTGCTAGTTTGAAGCTTGGGGGTGCTAAGCACCCCCAAGCACCCCCCTATGTGCGCCTATGCTACGCTGTACAAATGCATTTTGAATCGGCTGGTTGCTATAAGAACGTATATATGTATTATATCGTATACGAAGGTTGGGATGTGAATTAATTTTTTAAATCGCATAAATGTTATATTCTAATATTTAACATTCTCTTATTCCTAGTTACGAGATAGTTATTTTCGTTTGTCACAATCGCTACACTGACAGAACACTCGAGGCGGCTCTCCTTACACGCCGCCGAATAGTGCATCACAGTGCACTGACGAGTCGCTACAGACCGGAAGTGCAATGACTTTCAAAACGGTGTTTATATCGTCCCACGGACAGGTAATGGTGGCGCTCTTGATTGGCCTCTTTCTGGTCATGGCTTCCCGGACCCACAGCAATCAGATGGTAATAAACTCCACTGGCGCCCACACCACATATTCCTCGATGAACGTCGTCTACCAAGTGGCGTACTTGGTCGTTCAGCTACCGATAGGCCTGTTTGCGGACCGCTTGAACCCAGTGACCATGCTGGCCACCATCATTGGCGGGCTGGCCATCACGTCCGTTGTCTCTCCGTTCGCGCTGACCGGCCTCTCTTCGTGGTCGTGGACACCATGGAAGTCGGCAATCCCCGCCATGATGACCGGTACCCTTTACGCCGTTAACGGCGCGCTGGCCGGTTCCTGGTGGCCGTTCATGAACGTCATGCTGTCCAACTGGGCGCCGCCTGAAGAACTGGCGTTTATGTATTCCACCATCAATACAGGTTTACCCAGTGGCATAGTGGCCGGAAACATTTTCACCGGCTTCTTCTACAGCCTGCATGGTTCAGAATTTGGTTACAGCTTTTTCATCATGTCCGTTAGTATATTATTATGTATTATTAATTATTATTATTTTATTATATTATATTATTAATTATTATGCCTCCCAACCAAAGCGATACCTAGTGGACATATACATTATACACATATATATTATTCATAAAAATACAAATAATTGTATATTTACGACACCAAGGTGGGTGGTCTTCAAAAATCTTTTTTTCATACAATATTTACTTTGATTACTTATGTTAAATATTATACTTACCGTAATTTTTAAAAATACTTTGGAAATTTATTTCAAACCGGTGGTTGAATAATTTGTCCTATAAGTATTTAAATACTGAACATTGAAATAAAAATAATTTCATTTATAGGTACTTTCATTTGTTGAACTGTTCGGGACCTGAATTTATCTGCATTGCATTTTTTCAAAATTATATTTATTAATACTCGTTGCAGTTGTTGTGATATTTATATGATTGGACGCTGTTCCAGTATAGGCCATATGCATGACGTGGAGTGTTGCCTGGTTTATAATGTTTTACCATCATCCGTCTGACGACCCGGGCGTCCGGCCATCCGAGCTCGAACTCTTGACCACCAGCGTCCACCCTAAGGCAAAACTTCCGGTGCCGTGGGCGGAAATCGTCACTTCGTTGCCCGTGTGGTCGGTGATGTTGGCCAATTTCGGTTCGACTGTGTTCTACGTGGTCCTCATTATGTACATGCCAGTGTATCTTAAGTACACAATGAAAGTGGATATCGCAGACAATGGTTTCTTGTCCATGTTGCCGCCGCTCGGCCAAATAGCCGTCATGTTTACTGCCGGGAGGTGTGCGTCGTTAGCCCAGGCCAAAGATTGGATGAACGTCTCAGCCATCAGAAAAGTAAAACTAGAGTGTCCATGATCATTTAAACACCCTTTACATATAACCTGTTTCTGTATATAAGTATAGGTACCTTTCCATTTTCCTACAAATTATAAGATAACGCGACCGAAACGATTTTATAGGGATCACAGCTACGACCAGATTGAACCCAAATTAACCCAAACCCTAAACACCCTTACAAAAATCAAAAACCCGAAATGATTCTGTTTTAAAAACACCAGTATTAACCAAAACTCGAATAAATCATTCGGGTTACCCCGAAACCCGAATAATTTTGTTTTTTACAAACTCTTCATATGATATATAATTTTGTATGTATTTCTTGTGGTGAGTTATATTCTGTAGTTAGTTGTTTAATAATAATAATAAATTAACAAGAACAATCTTACAATCAATCAAAGGTAAATTCAATAATTAGGTATTTTCTTGAAAATAAAATAAAATATAATCTTATGTAACTACTGTACATTAATAAACCGAGTTTGGTCTATAACAAATGTTGTGAATTCGTTTTAAAATTATATATTTCACTATACATAACATAATAAGTCATGGCATAAATCATTATTTTTTTTTGGGGGGGGGGGGGGGTCATCATAAGCTATGTTATTTCCAGACTACTTATCACCCGTATTAACCAATATTAACCCGAATATTGAAAACTTTTGTTTAAACTTTTTATTCCGGTGTTTGAACACCCGAATACATCCAGCATCCGAAATCCGAATAAATGATTCGGGTGCAAAGCCCTGCAATATATTGATGACCTGCTATCTGTTGATGAATAATAATAATAATAATAAATAATAATCAGGCTAGGTTACTGCCTATCCCAGTTGAGGGATACTATAAAACTATACATTGCTAAAAAAACGAAAAAAATTTTATATTGTGGTGGCAACGTAGCTTAAAATATACTTGCTAAAAAGTTATAATTGATGCTCAATCGTAAGATGTGCCGGAAGCTACATAGGAGGAAATCCTTAGCCACCCCAAAAATATAGTTTTTTTAGTTGTGTGAGATTAAAGCCCCTCAGCTCACATTGATTTAAAAAATGTTAGTCCACCTAACATTGTAATAGCTTTCCGTGTATGGCCAACTACCGGGTACCAATTAATATATAGAATAAGTTGTTAAACTAATGTTAGATTCAATATAATACACACAAAAAAAAATCATAATGTTGCTTAATTTTATATTCTTATGATAGAAACTACTATAAAATGCATCTTGCAATACGCCAATACCTGAAGTAAACATGACAATCTAAGGCCGATGCTATGACGTTTTATATACTAATAGGTACCTATACTAATATTATTATAAAATCACAACCTTTTAATATTATTTCTTGGTGAAATATATTATTGGTTGATCAAACGTTTCAATTTTTTCTCTAGGTTTTTAGTTGTATAGGTATGGCGGTGCCAGCAATCCTACTTACAGTTGCGACGACTATACCGAATAGTTACATCTTCTACAGTTTTATAGTAGTATCGTACAGCCTGTCTGGTTCGGTGTTCTCCGGTTTTCGGGTCAGTCAGATAGAAATGGCTCCAAATTTCGTGGCGGCAATCACAGCACTTTGCGATATTTTCGGCAGCCTAGCAATGAACCTTACTCACATAACATTCCTTGTGATCATCGGGGATTCATCCGATCAGATGGCATGGGACGAAATATGTTGGTGTTTGAGCGTAATACTCATTGTGAGTCTTGTCCCGTTCGTCTTGTTCGGGAATAGCAAAATACAATCGTGGAATACCCCCAAAAAGCCAGAAATAAACTAACCAATTGAAATATAATGTCACGTGTAGGAATAATAACGATATATCGTCAATTTTTAAATCGATAAGACTTATTCGATAAATCGAGGCTTTCAATATTTTCAATTAAACAATTCGATTTTAAGCAAAAATCTTGTACCTAAACAATAACAATTATAAGTAAACATTAACATTTATTTCAAAATATATTTTTTGTATGGTTGCAACTCCAAAATATTTACCACTAAAATGTGCTAATCTAAATCCATATTTTTTTTTAAATAAATCGAAACTTAAAAAAAGGTCTGCTGTAAAGTAGGTGTCTTGGGCCTAGGGGTCACTGTAATGAATGTGTTACATATTTAAAAAAAAAATATAATATAATATTTTCTAAACCTTTTATACATATAAATACATTTTATTATTTCTCCAAAACCATACATTTTTAGTTTCTTAATTAGATAGTTAAATTAGGTAATGATAATTCTATTTTTAATACATCAACGCATTTTAATTGTAATTCTCATTATTAAGGGGCCTCGATATGGCATTGATTGAAGGAGAATCATTTAGGAAATATCTTTAGTTAATTTTTTTTCAAATGCAAGCATTGAATTAACTAATTTAATAAATAGATTAATTTATCAAATACCAATATAATAATATAATTCTTTTTTCGGATAGTTTTAAAAATGATAGGTCGGTATATTAAATAAAATCATTTATAATATACTTATCTATGACTGTAGTTAAAATTTAAGAAATACAATTTCTTAATCAAGCTCTTTTATACGCGATGATTTTAAATATGGAAACAATTCAAATTTTTCAGTTTAAGGGGCCCTTGCTATGGCATTGATTTAAGGAGAATCATTTAGGCAATTTCTAATCTCGTCATCTCCACCCAAGATCTATATGTGTTAGTCGTAAATGATTATTAGTGTGTGTAGCCTCCGTCCGGGTCAATTGTAATGGTACGGAGGGTACTCGCATGCACATTGGCAGTATGTCATATTTTGTGATCACGAAAAAAAAATGTTTATTTTTCACTCAAACTCTAATAATTCCAACAATACGATTACCTCGATTTGTATTCTGACAAAATATTCTTTTTTCCACAACATGTACGAGGGATCGATCAATGTACATTTTTAAAATTATATTTAGTTAATTAAATATTTAAGTTGGAAATTCTGAATTTTTGATAATTTTTATTGCAATTTAAATTAAAATAATTAAAAATGTAGCTTGATCGTTCCCTTGTATATATTACGGACAATCCGAATATTTTTTCAGAATGAAAATCCTGATAATTGTCGACACGTATTTTTGGAATTAGAAACAGTAGTTTTTGACAAAAAAAAAACGTGGTAGTGAGGCCCCTTAAGTAATGAACCTTAATAACTATAAGTTCTCTGAGAAGCAATTTACTCTTGTTTTTAAATAGCTCAATTACTCAGAATCCATATTACTCTAATTTATCCTTGTTCATAGTATTTCACATATTTATATTCCACAGTGCAAATTGCCAAATACCCCAATTGAATTTATACACTAAACTATCTTCTATAGACATAGGTGTGCGCAGACTTAAATTTCTGGTCGAGCCTAGACAATTATAGTGCCCTAATATTTGGACTGCGCCCCTAATTTTTTTTTTTAACACACCAACATACATGTTGATAATATATTAACCTATTGATGTCTATAGTACTATTTGTACCTATAAAGGTATAATGTTTTTTTTTAGATTAATTAAATGTATGTAATGGTTAGGTTAGGTATAATATAAGCATTATAATAAAATATTTAAATATATACGCACATTTTACTATGCCCCTAAAAAGTTTCAGGTCGAGCCTGGGCTTGACCGGCTCGCCCCGTGTGCACGCCTATGTCTATAGACTAAAACTGAATCTGTAAATGAATAACGTAAAAATTTACAAATCAAAATACATATAAAAAGTCAAAAATGATGTAAGATAGGTATAGTTATTATCAATATCATCATGCAACTAACTAAATTCTACCATAGAGTATAAATAAAACAGATTTCTATATATTTATTACTGGATATCGGCGACCGCCATCATTTTAAGACGGGTGGTCTGGTATTTCATACGGTAAATATTAATTATTATTATTTATGTTGTACCTATTGTATTTTTTTATTTCTATAAGTACCTGTGAGTTTTCAAAAAAAAAAAAGAATCTTATATAAATCATTTTGAATATAGCGGCACAATACCCATACAAGAACCGGATTCCCGATTTCCCAATAGGCCTATCCGCCCTTGACTACTAAGTACTAAGTAAATTTAATGATATTATTGGTATTTAAGAAATTTATTTGAGTATTAGACAGTACACTGAGCACACTAATACAGTAATACAGTAGTATAATGTAAATATTATAATGTTAGACTAACGAATAATAGAATAAAACTTAAAGTTAATAATTATTATTTTATTCAGAACCAGAAATATTGGTTATTGAAAATTTAATACAAGGTTCCATGTAAATAGGTAGGTTAATAAATTACTTTATTCACAATAATATCATCAAATATACTTAATAATTTATCATAGGCTGACTGACCGTCTTCGCACTGAATCGTTTTTCGTATACAATTATATTATATCATTGAATTCAAATTTAACACATCCATAACAGTGCACTAGATAAACCGCCATGTGATTGAACAATTAAGGATTTTTCCACCTTTAGAATTCATTGATATGTTTGTTTGTGATATCATATTTATTAAGTTTAAACTAAAATATTGCTCATTTTGTCTATTTTTAAATAAATACTAATAAAACAATACCAATTTATATCAATATATTTAATATATAAGCTACACACACTTAACTAGTAGATTTTTTTTACAAGCTTTTAAATTTGAAAATAAATACAGAGTTTGCTCAAAATAAGTTCTCCCCTTGACTATAATCAAATACAGGACCTCATTAAATTAGCCATCTCATAAATTAATTGAATAGACGTCATGTAGTAATTGAATAAATCAGTTAGGCATTACTGCCTAGTAACAGTATACCTACGGCTGTATGTGAAAATTCAAACAGTTGAATTCAACCAGTCAGCTTTTGGGAGTTCAGCAAATGGACAATGAACCTACACATTGACAATCTTCTCTAATCTTTAACATCTAGTGCAAGGCAACATACACTAATTCAATTAAATTTATCTATAAGAATTAACACCTCCATATAGGGTGACAAATTAATTAAGACTGTAATTATAGTATTTTTAAATAAGGATTCTGCAAATGTGACACTTGTTTCCTAAACTTAAATCATTCTAGTCAACTACTTATTCAGCAAAATTTTTTTTATTTATTATTCCATTTCTCTGTAACAATTTTTAAAAACCAAATGTTAATGATATAATATATTAAATTATTATATATTTAAATAGTATGTTTACCTATTGGCTGTAAGTTTGTAATTATGTAATTAATGTTTTTCATAAATAAAAAAACCTATTTCATTTTTCGTCATTCAAAAATATTAACCTTGCACTTTTAAACGATTAAAATGATACCACATAAAAAAAATATTATGATAACTAGGATTTGGATGATTTAAGAGAATACATACTGTACATCGATATGTTTTACAATTTATTATAAAATTATTTCCTGAATAAAAATAAGATAATGATTAAAAAAATATTATTATAACATTAAATCTAGCTTTTAATAATTAATAAGAAATGAAAAATGTAATGTAATTAATTTATACAAAAAAAAAATTCTAACTACTTGATACAAAAAAGTTGTATTAAAAATAAAAATGCAAATATTACACTTAATATAATATATTATAAAAGAGTATAGTATTATAAAATAATGTGTTTTGACATATGATATAGTCAACACTCATTGGATACATATTTTGGTAATGTAAATGTTTAAAGCACACAACCATTTACATAATAAAAATAATTGTTTAACAAAAACTAATTTCTTAAAATTGGAAAAAGTTTTTAATGGAACATTCCATATTTATAGTGAACAAAAAACCACTAAATACTGGAAATATTAAAATTATAAAACCTAACAGAAAAAGAAAGACGACTAGACTTAATTATTTGTAGTCTGTTAAAAAATAAAATAGGAAACAAAATCAGGAATATATATTGTTTTTTGGCTGTTGAAATTTTAAATAAATTTAAAGAAATAAATTTTGGTTATTATTCTAAAAATAAAAAACCATTATTTAAAAGTAATACTTAAAATATAGTTTCAATATTTAGTACAATAAAAGATTCAAATTAAAAAACCTTGTAATTAATAATAATATATACTTCTAAAGTTATATATAATTTTATAAGTAATCAAAATAAAAATTCTTTATAATAAATATAAATTAAAATATTGCCTTTGTCTGAGATACAACCCTAAGCTTATATAATAAAATATATAAAAACTATGAATGATTAACTGGACGGTATTTAGAAACCCTGTAGTGTAGCACATATTTTTAAAATTGTGGAAACATTTTTGCAATTAGTTTAATTTAATTATTGAATTAGTCAATTAAGTTTAAAATCTTTCTTTTGAAGTAGCGAAATCAGTGTCTTGTAAAAGTTGTAATTCTTGAAGTTCTTCAAATTTTTCATGATCTCTGATGTGAGCATAATTAGCAGATAAACACATCAGATAATGAACCTATTAAATAAAATGAAATTATTATTATTAGAAAATGATAAAATAAATAACATATTTTTGTAACTAGTAAATAATTACTTCACAGTTAATAATTTTTATATTTAACCTATGCCCAGTGTGAAATAACAAGTAAATGCAGTAGTTTATAACAAAATATATAATATAGGTAGGTATCTACATTGCAAATTTTTTTTTATGAATGTATAACTTAGCCTATTTATTTCCCAGTATAACCAAAAAAATGTATAGGTGTATGGATTGTTATACTACGTATCATGAGAGAAGGAACTCGTTTATCACATACGATTGATATCTGCGATTACACAGAGGCCAAAGCCCCCACTTCTTACAACCCATCAGTGAGCCAAATAGGCGCAAGTGGTGGGAGATGCTCACAATCAAAGGGAAAACCAGGTCCTTCTCCTATGAAATGAAGAATGAAAAATATTGTGTTAATTTTTAAATTTATCATTGAAAACTTTGTTGTGTCTCAAGTATTATGTGGCTCAGTATACAAATAAATTCTGGCTCCATATTATTTAGGTTAGATTGATTTTCAATTGCATAATTTTCTTAATATGCTTCAAATTACTCATTATAAAACTCTTCATTTTTTAGGAGATTAATAAGGCTTAAAAAATAGTTCTTACCAGACTTATTAATATCAAAATTACTCCAAAAGTTGCCATCATAAACATAAATTCTGATTTTTCAACAAAATCTCTGCAGAAGAACTTTATTTCTCGAATTTCACATATCTTTAAATATTCAATACGAGTAGATTGTGGAAATAAGAAATCTAAAACATAACATTTTATTTTATACTCATAACAAGAGTTTAACATACTATTGATTAAATGTAGCATCAAAGTATTAATAGAAGTTGTATACTTACTAAATTGTGTTAAGTCAATGCATTGATGATAATCTTGAACTTGGGTGCTAACACACATTTTCCAAAAAACAGTCAATATAAATGTCGAAACTATTAGTAAACCAAATACAAAAATCCAAAAAAATTGAAGTATGTAAATAATACCCATAAACTAAAAAAAAAAATTTATGTTAAACTTGAAACAGTGCCTAATAATATACTTTATCACATCATAATACTTACAACTGCACAAGATATACGACCACCAACTCTATTTCTCCATGCTTTATAAATACGACGACGAGTTGCTCCTGTAGCCAGAAATCCAACAAATATAATCATTAATGTTAGAGCTCCCATTCCTGCAGCTATCAAAACTAAAATGGTTTTTACAGTTTCAAGCCTTAAAAATATAAAATACAAAAATCATAAATATTATATTAATACTAATAGTTAAATTTTTATTTATATTAATTATAAATATAATTTTGAACACTGCATAAGTAAACATTAATGAACAGGGATTGATTGAAACTTTAAACAGTTATATATTTTTTAGGATGCTGCAAATATATGATTTGAAAACAATTAGTTTCATAATACATACAGCTCAAATCTAAAAATGTAATTTTCATATTTTATCAAATTTAAGTGAATTTGTAAATTTTAAGATTTTTTTTTTTTTTTTTGATATTCAGCATTGGCAACCATGGTCATTAGCATACTGTAGAGGAGGGAAAGTTACGGTTGGTTGAGGAACACGTGAATGTAGAGCGAGGATTTGTAACTACCAACATGGGTGGTCGAGACCTCAGAACACTTAGTGACTAAGGCCAACCACCGGGCCACCAGCCTATTTTAAGATTTTTTTACATAATAAGTAATATCATATATTTTTAAAGAAACCTACTGTTTTTGTGAAAAGCGTTCATACATCCCTGTTTATATTTTGAATAATTCTGTCAAGATTTAAATTTATTTTTATTTTTTATAAAACAATATAATTGCATATTATAATGCGTATTCAAGATTTTTATTGCATATATTTAAATATGCACATTTTTCATTGTTTTTTATTTATAAAAAATTTTAAAAAAATGTACCAGCCAATGTAGAGATGAAACACTTGATCCATCATCAATGCGCTAAGCGTTACACCACGATACATTGTAAAACAAAATACTCCAATACCAGTACAACATAAAAGAGCAGCTATTAAAGTAGCATATGGTATTCGTGTTGTACATGCCACTGAATTGGTAGCTAAAAAAATATAAATATAATGTAATTCTTAATTAATATTATTAAAATAAAGCACATCAATTATTAGGTTTATGAGGTACTCAGGGTTATTATTTTATTAATAAGCTATAACTAAATGTCTAAGAATATGAAAAAAAAACTGAAGAATATAGAAACTAAAATTTTAAAATCTAAGTATTTTATGTAAAAACATAAATGTGAATAACAACTAAAATTAATAAAAATAAGCAAATAACATTATTAATGTTTTATATCATAATAAAAATTATTATTATTATTATACTTAATATATTATTTGAATAATTTTATCAAAAAGTGAATTTAATGAGTTAAAAACTACTTCCTAAAACAGAAATTTAAATCCAAAGATGAATCAATGATTCTACTATACATTTCTGAAGTATTAAGAGTATGATTTGGATAAAAACTTAGGCTTTTATATAAAATTTAAAAACAAGATTTAGGTACACCTTCACACCTAAGTACTGAAAATATATTTGAATACCCTGTAAATATAAAATGTAATACTTATTCACTTACATGCTGCATCGCCAGCTCGTATCTTGTAACTAGAATGTAACGAATATTCAGAATAGCGTCCAAGAGTTTCCCTAGAAGGGTTATAATTGGAACTTTGTAAAGGCATCTCCATTTCAGGTCTTTGGAAATTATACTTATTCATAGTTTGAAATGCTAAAACAATCATCAAGAACAACAATTAGTTAATAAAAACAGTTAAACCCTGATATGGACTTAATTTTACCTAATTCAGTAATATTTCAGAGAAAAATTCTTTAAAATATGTGTCTATAGGATAATAAGAGATATAATTAATATTGTAAGTTTATTTTATTTTGAAAATAACAGAATAAATAGGTACTAAAATTATTATATTGATTGAAAACTACAAAAATGGGACATAATTTTTACTTTCCAATTTAAATTATAAACTATATTATAGGTACCTAACTACCAAACAGATATATTTTTATATAATATTAATTGTATTTTTACTTGACTTTTATTAAATAATTACCTAAATGTGTTTTACTTTATAATATATTATCTATTTCATATTTTCATACCTATGTTATTATCATATAAAACCCAATATATTTAACAAACGACTTTTTTTTTTAATAAATTATATCTTAGACGTTTTATTTTAAGATTTATAAAATAATAATTTAACCAAATTAAAGTGTTCCTTTGAAAAATGTGAGTAATTTTGTGAACGAATTCAGTTTCAAGTGAACTTTCTAAACACTAGATACATCATATCTCATCAATAATATTTATATTACAACTGTTAGGTATGACAATAGACATAATTTTTATTTTAATGATTAAAAAGTATTTAATTTTGAAATAAAATATAAACGGAATACACAATTATAAAAAAATCTAACTCCTAAGTAAGAATTAGTAACTAAAAAAAATCCACTTCTATTTCGAGATTTTGAGTAACTAGGAATTAAAGTAACATTATATTAATATATATTTGTATTACCTATAAGTCTATAGCTAACATATTACATAGTGGTGAGTACAGTTAAGTATGTAAAGTATAGGTAATTTATCTAATATGAATATTTATTGTATAAAAAATTATCATTAGGAATTGGTAACTTATGTTTAGTGGCAATTTTATAATAATACTTTTAGAATTTAATTTTAAACTCTATCTAGTAATAATGAATTCATAATTCAATTGTTGTAAATCAGTCATTTTTAACAAAGGGCCGGTTAGAATACATATTGATTGACATGTAAAATATAGGCAGATATTTATATTTATACACAAATGTTTTCCATTATATATAGGTATTATACTCCATAAAATTCCAAACACAAATTTATTAAGTATGACGAGTATATAATGTAAAAAAAAACTACAGTATGTACAAAGGATCAATATTATCGATGTACACATAACTTATACAGTAGCGGTTATATACTATGCCACTCAATTGACTATGACAAAAATCCATCTCACTTCGACAGTGGTATTTTATTAGATAAAGATAAATTATAATAACCATTGAATATTATTATTCCGTATTCACGTCTAACTAAATTATCGTATTATAAGTATTTTATACTTACGTCAATTAAACAAAACTGTTCATAACTGCTACTGAACAAAGATTGAATTATTGAATATGGAACAATTTGGAATGCAATTATAACTAAACTAAAAAATGGAACGCGGGTAAGAGACAAAAAAGGTAAGTATCAAATAAACATTAATGTTGATACAACCAACAACAAATTATATCTGTTGATTTGACTACATTTTACTGTTATCAAGTATCGTTTTGTTAAAACAAAAAAAAGTAACGAATCATGGGCTGGGTCGGTGGGCGGTGATCATCAAAAGAGAAAGTTGGTGGCTTGGAGGTAAATTTAGTGCTGAAACTAAGTTTCTCGATTAGCAGGACGGATTGCTTTATTAATTTTTCATCAAAACGACCTAGCCAGTGGCGTATTAAGGATTTTGAGGCCCCGGGTACACATTTTTTTAAAAAACTTTACCCCTCCCCCCATTTGAATTTTTTCTTGCTTGGTCATATTTTTATATTCATCATGATTCATGATGCTTTATTTGGTGCACATATTTTATGATTTTTCGTCATGTATTATAATATGTTAAATATTCCGTATACTTAGTTAGTTTCTAACTTAAAGTAAATTTAAGTTTCTAACTATAGTTATATGTTAATATTATGTTACATATAATATAATATAGGTTGTATGATATTAAGACACAAAAATAATGAATAAATAGGAAGTGACGATACGTAATTATAATTTACCTACTTAGGTAACTAATAGTTGATCACCTATAAAAGTTACTTCATAGTTGAATTATTATATTTGATAAGTATTGCTGGTAGTTCTATTTAAGATTCTGAGAGATGCGATGGATGTATTGATTTTACAACGATTATGTGTGTGTTTTGTTTGTGTCTTTCATCGCCTTTTGGGGCAAACGAAAATGTTTCGGTTTTTTACTTCAGCATATTTTGTAGTAGGAAAATTAATCTAGTTGGTACTTTTGGGGGAGAAAATTAAAAAGTTCCCAGTATCTTTCCAAAGTCTCAGTAAAAAAAAAAAATTAAAAATTAAGGTTTTTTTGAGATTTCTAAGATTTTTACGCCAACCCGATTTTGTTTTTGGGTGTAGGTATCTATAAAAAAACATAAGTGGATATATTGTCGTGGAATATTTATATTGGCATTTCCTATAGGTACACTAAAAAATATTTTGACTATTTTTGAGCTAATTACAGGCATAAGAAAATATCGATTACCTATTAAGTATATCTATTTTGTTTAGATATAACGTATAGTTTATAAATATATACTCCATATGAGCATTATTTTGTTTTCGAAATTAATTCATTCACCTATCAAAGTTTATCCAAGTTTTGCGTTTATCGTTATTTAGAACTAAAACGTTATACATGCAAGTTTTGAGTTTATCGTTATTTAAAATAGTGTTAGTACCTATTGAATTTAAAAATAATAACTGATGCTGGTAGATAATGGCCCAGATACAGAATATAATATAATCAATTCTTAGATTGTTTTCATAAAATAAATGTTTCTACGAAAAAAATAAACCTTTTAAATAAATAAAATTATTTATCGTTTAATGATATTCTATAAATTACGTTTTGTGTTATGTTTTGATTAATGATATATAATATATTTTGTTAATCGTTATGTTTTGTTTTACGGTATTTAATTATTTTTGATTATCGCGACAATTACGTTTGTAAATTCCAATAGTTTTTTGTCAAATTAAATACGTATACTAGCACAGATAGATAGCTGGAAAGTGTTAATACTTATAGTACATTTTTAAATATATTAAATACAACTTAAGACTTTTTGAGCGACTATTATAGACCAACTTTATATTTGTGTATTAATAGGTATATTGATAAATAAAAGTTTGATGATAGGTCGATTCACTCAAAAACAAAAAATAAAAACCCACTTTTGAAATTTGCAAACGAAAATTTGGTATGTGAGAAAACACATGCCGGTGTGCCGTCCTCTTAATAAAATCAATATTTCTTACCTTTATGAAAATGGTGCAAAAATCAATTGTTGTCTTTATAGATTAAAAAAGAGTTCAAAAATAAAAAACCTACAAAAAATGGAAATAATTAAAGACAGTATAAGTTGATAGTCTTGAAAATATTGAACAACTGTCAAACTATAATATGAAATTATGAACTGAGTTTTGACTAAGCACATTTTGTATAACGTGATGGGTTTTTATAAAAAAATATTATCTACGATTAATAATTGTTTGGCGACTGTTACTAAACCTTTAAAATTAATATAGATGATATTTGGTTTTCTTAAATCTAAATACCATAAGATCAACTTTAATACCTACTTATATAGAAGCATTATTATAATTTATTCTTAAAATGATTTTAATATAATAAATAAAAATAAATGTCATTCACATTAAGATATTTTACAGGATTAACTCTATAATAGACCAATAAAATAATTAAACTAGATAAATGTAAATAAGTACTATACCAGTATTACATGATAAACTAAATGGCATACAATATAATCACTATTGTTACGTGCCAACTACTACAGTTGTTCAAATGTAGGAAGTAAATTGAATTGACTCACGAAGATGACTTATAATTTGTATTTATTGTACTCAGAGCCGTGTTAAGGGGGGGCAATTGCCCCCGGGCGCCATAGTTTTGTAAAAGTAAGGGGCGTCGTTATTTGAGCATAATATGCTTCTTGGAGCCCAAATTGTAGGGAAAGGGCTCGAATTGCCCCGGGGCGCTGAATTGCTTGACACGGCTCTGATTGTACTCAAATAAAAGTATTAAATAACTCAAAAGTTATGCAATATTATTCTAAGTCCAGAATAATTAATTTAAGTAAAACGGTTATAAGCGAGTTGTGACTAAGTATTTTAGCTGGTGTCTGTTCGAGTTGAGGCTGGCTGCTCGTCTGATGAACGCTTGTCCATCACGTCTCCTCGATGGACCTCTATCCCTTGTCCCTTCCATAATTTCTAAGACCATACATGGTCCTGCGGGCAAACGTCGAATTGGTTCCTGTGTCGATTAAAGTGTACGAATTGGTTCCCGACAAAAAAATACTTTCCAGTATACAACTGTTCGAATTGGTTCCCGAATAAAATTACTTATCTGCAGTTTATCAGTATACAAACTCACTCTTACAAGATACGTATAATATGTACAATCGATAATCTTATAATATTTTATTAGGTTTTACGATGTCTTGGGAAAGTTTATAAATATAATTTTATAATTTTATATAAAAATTGAAAGAGGGCCAAATTTCGAACCTACAGTTCGTTAAAAATGTGTGTTTGTAAATTCATACCACGCTAATTTTTAAATTTTTTTCTAATATTATTTACCTATTATGACTTATTATTATTACATTATTATTACTTATTTATTAAAAGCATAATTATTATTATTGACAAATACGTATGTAGAGTACATTATGTATATATTAACTACTGAGCAACATTTTTAACCATACCTAGGTATTCTTGATAGTGTTTAAACTATTCAAACTTATTTGGATTCTAGACAGTCCTCAGTCTGAATAAATGGGAAGGAAATTGTTGCTGGTTGAGTATATCATAATAATTTGG